GCCGTATTTGTGTAGCTTATAAAATCAATTTGCTCCCAGACATTCATGTGGCTTGCTAGTTTTGGACCCCATCTGTAACCCCAATACACATACGGGACTTTAGTATTAGTGTCATGGTAATGGCTGAGAGCCAATGGAAACGTTTTATCAGGTGAAGCTTTTACCTCTCACGTAGAGCATGGCGTTGAGGGCGGACGACCCCTCTGTGTTTTTCGCAAAGCACTGGTACTGTCCCATGTCGTCCTTCTCCGTGCCGTAGATCTCCAGCGACCCGTTGTCGTGAACGCTAAACCTCTGTCCCTGCACGGATTCAGAGGAGTCGTCCCTGCTCCTGGAGAAACATTCAGACAAACCCCCATTAAAGCTTCAAAGCGCTTAAGGCCAAATGAAATATGAACACAGTAGCAGCCTGACTGGATAAACAGCAAGCTGTGGCAGCAAAGAAGGAATAAAAAGTTGCTGAATAGAACATTTAATGTCGAGCGACAGGGTTTAAACGAAACAGCAGGTCACTAATAAAGAGACACGATGCATGCCGAGGGACTGTGTGCAGCTTCACGTTGAGATCTACTGCTCTCTGCTGGCGTAACGGAGAGCACACCTACCATGTGATCGTAGGAGGGGGAGAGCTGAAGACATTGCAGTGCATCATCGCTCCCTTCCCCTCCACAGCGGTGTATTCCTCCCCTTCCTTGGTTAAAACCATGGGGGCCAGATCTGTAAAGAGCAGAAGTTGTTAGAGAAACTTTAACGGTGGTACTTTCAGGAGTTTTAAAATAATGAGAGAGAGAGAGATCAGGTTTGCAAATGTATTCTTAAAAACAAACAGGAAGGAACGAGGCAGATAATCCCGGGTTAAACAGAACCGCCGCGTTAATTGTCGCCTCCTTTGTGTTAAAAAAAACCGACTCGGCTGTCAGTAAATGCCAAAGAATGAAATCAAAGAAAACAATGAGTGAGCCGAGCGTGTGCACCTTATCAGTTGTAGCCAAAGCCTCCCATTTTAAAAATGCTCTGTCTCTCCTAATTGTTTACAAAGGCAGCCGCCGGGACTTAGCATTCAGCGGCTGTCCGGCGTTATTAACTCCTGTGTCACGGAGAACAAGCCGCACACGTCGGTGCTATATAATCTGAACTTGTAAAGCAACACATGTTTATCTTAGGGCCCTGAAATCAGTATGGAATTGAGGGAGAACTTGTTAGCATATAAATGGCAGGCTTGTTGCTCCACAGGGAGAAGCGCTAGCCCGGATGAAGGAGTTTGTAGACAGGCCTTCTTCCCCGGGCTCCTCGCTGCTTTATGGGCATATGCCAACATCAGCAGCAGCTCTTTGGCTCCGACACATCAGTCAGCGGTCTCCTGATGACTCACTGCAAAGTCTGACACTTGCTCACACACACTGTGAAACAAACGCTGTGGAAAACAGATTCCTTTTTGTACTTGATGAAAGTGAAGTGATGCCTGCTAACGGAAGAGACACACTTACTCATGATCATGATGTTTACGTTTGACAGAAGGGTGCCGTGTTTGTTGGAGGCCTCGCACTGATACACGGCGCTGTCAGACTCTTTGGCGTTGTGGAGCATGATGGTGTCGTCAAACACCTTCCTGTTGGCTGCAGGGGAATCTGTGAAATACATTTATTTGTTTAAGATCATTGCCATACATGCTGCAACCCTGTATGTACATGATAGACACACTGGATTCACAATTTTAGCTTTAATTTCTCCGGTAAACTCTCTAGGTTTGATTCTATTTCATTCTCTCTAAGGGCAATAAGCCAGGGCTATCTATCCAGTCCACTCCTAAATTATGTACGAAGGCTTATTAAAGCAATTGTAGATAAAGACAAATCAATTATGGAGCAGAGGAAAGGGTACTATGTAATCATTTCTGTGATTAAAGTCTTATAGTTAGTGGGGAACATTTAAATAAATTCAAGAATATCGGGAAAAGCATGTTTTTTGTTGAGAACCCGATGGCCTAACTTGCCTTGTACGATGCGTGCAGTGGATGATCTTATCAAATGATACCTTGCAATCAGATTTAACGATAGGAAATCTCACTTCAAGAGACATGGCTGTGCATCGGGTCTATACTGTATGAGGTGAGTGCATTAGTGCATCAGTAACTACGACAACGGGGAATATGTTCCATACTGGGTTGAGCGTCTGTGGAGTCATGAGGTTGATCAAACCTTGTGAAGTTAACCAATGTGGATCCTTAAAGATAACTACAAACTTTTTTTTTCTCGTACATTTCTAATCCAAGAGAATATTCAATTTTCAAAATAAAACAGTGATTTTAATACATTAAGGCAGGGGGTGTCAAACTCAATTTTATCGCGGGCCACATCAGAATTATGTTTGCACTCAAAGGGCCGGTTGTCATATATAATAAATAATGTATTATAATACATAATTTCCTGTGCATTGGATTATTATCGGATAGGGTAATAACTTCATAATTAACTACATCTGAAAGCAGAAGTCTAGGGCAAATAATTGCAAGTCTCTTATGTGAGCATGTCACAAAACAAGATGCATTGTGGGACATGTAGTTTATGGGCAACGTGCTCCCGTAAAGTGGCATGTAACCGTATAATAAAACTTATTATATTCTTTACATGCGGGCCACATTAAATGAAGTTGCGGGCCGGATTTGGCCCCCGGGCCTTGAGTTTGACACCCTTGCATTAAGGGCTTAATATATAGGAGCTGAGGATAAAATCACCCCTTCCCAAATAAAGATCTAATCAAACCAACATGTGTGCCTTACGCCCAGCCAAAGTGAAATAAAGACAACATGATATTTCATTTGACTTCCGGGTATTTTATCATTGTGTTAATCCATTCATCTCTTTAAATGTTTGGCTACCATTGTATTCACAAGAATAGCAAGAGAACATCACTACTTTACCCTAACCCCCCCCCCCACACACACACTATAACACTCCTTGTTGTTAAATACCAACCAACTATGTGCTGTATGTGCATTATGTATATATGCCGTTAATAACTGTGCGATATATACCTGGCTGCTAAATCCTCAGAACTGTTACAGGATGAGTATTTTGTAAATTGTGTAACTTTTTTTAATTATAATGTTTGTATCTTTAATACTTTTACATTTGTATGCATGCCTCTTAGGTAACATTAAGCTGTCTTTGGCTCTTTTCTGCTGTAACAACGTACATGTCCCCTCTGTGGGGCTAATAAAGGGATTCTGATTCTGTATC